AATTGTGGCATCCATAATTGTAATCGCGATTAGAAATTCGATTAATTGTGCAGCCCTATGTTAAATATATATATAATTTTTTTAAGTCTTTTTTTTAAATGAATGTTAATATCAAATTATCAAATTACAGAAAATATCAAAATTGTCAAGGATCAACGTGTTCCAGCTTGCATGTTAAAGGGGTAATATGATGCTACATGCACTTTTACAAGTTGTTTGAACTGAAATGCTTTTCATTAAGACCCTAAAGAATCATATCAACTTGTGGAAAACGGGCATCCTATGACCCCTTTAATTGTGTGTATTACAGAGTCTCAGGTTCCAGGAGTCCCGAGTTCTCTTCATGTTCGTCCACTGGTGAACCGAATCGTGGTGAGTTGGACTCCTCCAGAAAACCAGGACGTTTTAGTCCGAGGTTATAAAATCGGATACGGAATCGGCAGCCCTCATGCCCACACGGTCACTCTGGATTACAAGCAGCGCTTCTACAGCATCGATAACCTCGGTGGGTGTAACGCCACAAATACTCAGTCACATGTCGACATTAGGTGTGTTTACAGACGTTTATTAATGTTTCAACTCCAGATCCCAGTTCCCATTACGTCATCACCCTCAAGGCTTTCAACAACATGGGCGAAGGCATTCCCATCTACAACAGCGCCACGACGAGACCTCAATCCGGTACGACACGCAAACACACTGAATGCATGATCGTTTGAGGTTTTTACTGTGCCAGCTTTCGCATGTCCATTCGGACAGGGTCAGATGACAAAAATACATACTTCATGTTATTTTGAAGCATATTGAACACAATTAACTGTGTCTCTCTTCTATCTAGCATCAGACATGTTTCTGTTTTCTGTTTTTGCACTAAAAACAAAGCACGGTGTAAATCTGTAACGCTTCAGGCTAGGGGTGTGCGATATTGGCAAAAAATAATATCTCGATATTTTCTGGGATTTTATCGATAACGATAATCCTCCGAAATTCTTCTTTACAAATCCTCGTTTTGTACTTCTAATTCTTGACCGTTGTTTTGTTTTGATCTCTTCCCTGCGCTTCCGCGTGCATCACTTCTGAGCGGCGCATGCGCAAAGCTGAACTCATACGTCATCAGCCTAGAGCTGCTTCCGTGTACAACTGTTGGTGCAAGCTACATTAAAGTGATTATTGCGTTTTGAATATGGATATGTTTCTTACAAAAACGCTCGATTCGCTACAGGAGGCCTTTGTTCACCCCCCGGAGCCGTGTGAGACACTTTGATTTTTTATGGATGGGCGCTTTTTATTTAACTTGTTTTGGACTGAAGCATGCAACACCCGCTGAGTGCCATGAAACAGCTTGAAAGATCAAAGACCATTTTTAATATAACTCCGACTGGATTCGTCTGAAAGAAGAAAGTCATTTACACCTAGGATGCCTTGAGGGTGAGTAATTTATGGGCTAATTTTCATTTTTGGGTGAACTAACCCTTTAAGGACTGCCGTGGACAGCTGACTCCTAAAGTTTTTCATATTCTGCGTGGTGGTCAGTTCACACTGAGAGAAATTAATCTTTTCCAATAAGTTTAAACTTATTTTTACATTTTATGGGCATTTTTACCTTTATAAAGCCATTTTTTCTAAAAGTGTCCATTATCTTTTGAGTCAAAT